ATCATTTGATATGACTGAGCAAACATTATTGCTGCAAATAATACCATCTAATGTATGTAATAACTCTTCATCAAGATTTGTATTTACATTTAAACGACATTCTGTAGCTTTGTTAGCGTCAAGAATGAAAAGCTGTCCATAACTTGATTGTTCTTGTGCAGCAGGATATAATGCAGTATTAATTTGATAATAAATTTGACCTTGAATTTTGAAGCAATAAGGACTTCGTCTTTGTGTATTAAAATTAACCAAGTTAGCATTAAAAGAAGCAAAAGAAAATGCACTATTATAACTTCGCAGATTTTTAAAAAGCTCTTTAGATTTTTTATGATTTCCAAAAAATAACTGTTATTGTTCATCAGGAAATGGTGATAGAGATTCCAATATAATTTTTCCATGACTACAACAATTATTGAATGAATTACATTTATTATAAACTTTTTCAGCGTGAAAATGTTTTGCTTTACAATATTTGCACTCTACTTCCATTTTTCCTATGTAATGTTGATTTAAATTATGATAATTTATGTTTTGAAATCCTTTATAATTAGCTCGACAATTTTTCATTTTTCTTTTATCTGTGATATTTTGTAATTGTATATTATCAATTTCGGAAAAATTATCATTTATATTTACTGAAATTAATTGATTTGAATCTGTAGTATTTTCAACACTTGTAAGTGTATTTTGTTCATGGTTGACAGTTTTTTTAATTATATTAACATTATCGTTATCAAGTTTTGAATTTGAAGTTATCAAAGCATTATTGCTCGATAACTTTGATATGCAGTTGTTAATTGTAGTAACAGAATTGCTCAAAGTCGACGTTGTAATAACACATTTCATTACTGATGAAGCAAGATAAATATTGTTTGTGACCAAAGGATTTTGCGATTTAGACACTGCAACTGAACTATTATTTAATAAATTTCTTGATTCACAAACTTTAGATGGCTCAGCTATATTGTTTGTTGCATTTTCTTTCTTTCTCTCGTGGTATTTTTGTTGATTTAAAGCCTTTCGTTCTCTCTTTAATCGCTGAAATTCTTCTTCTTCCTCTTGAGTACGAATAGCTTTACGTTTACCTATTTTTTAAATTATTTTAATTAAATCTTTTTTGTTAAATGTTTACACAGATCAATAAAATTTAAATATTATAAAATGTGACAAATATAAATGTATATACAAACAAAATATTTGTTTATATAAATTTTAAATTAATTTTTAGTTAATAAATTTGTAGTTAATAAATTAAATAACAGATTATTATATAATTTTATTAAATTTTATTTAAATGAAAATAGCACACTGATGATTTAAAATTAAATAAAATATTACATAAAATAACAGTTTTTATATTACACAGTTGTTAAATTATAAATTTCAATATTGCACTTACATTAAATATCAATTTAATAATAAATAACTATAACACGATAATATTAATTTAACATTTAAATAAAAATTTAATTTAATTTTATATAGCAAATATAGTTGTTATGTAACAAGTATATGTATAGTGTTCTTGATAATAAAATATTTAAATGTAAATCAAACATTCATTAATTTCTTACAAATTTCAAATATCAACAATTAAAATATCAAATAATACTTGTAGTGTTACAACTATAATGTTAAATATTTATGTCAAATTTTTATCTAAATTTTCACAATTATGTCCAATTGTCAAATTACAAAAGCTGGATTGGAGCTTTGTTTTAGCCAAAAAATATAAGTGGCTACCAAACCTAAAACAAAATATTTTTATTAGCTTATTTATTATTTATATATATTAGCTTATTTATTATTTATATATATTAGCTTATTTATTATTTATATATATTTGTCTTATTATGTGAAATATTTATTATTAATAAAAATAAAAAATAAAATAATACCTGAATATGCTATATTTTGCTCATATATATTCAGTTGGATCATATATATTCAACGATAAAAATCAAATATCAATCCACTGTAAAAAAATTAAAATTATATTAACACATAAAACTATTTAAAATTATTATTTTATCTTTAAAACAAATAAATTTTTATATTATCTATATGTATATGACAATGTATTTAATAGGTATATATTATATATTATCAATTAATGTTATTTTGTATTTTCAGCAAATATTTTGGCAGTGATATCATTTCTTTTCAAGAATATAGTAACAAATATATTATATAAAAAATATATGAAATGTTAATACACATTTGATCTTAAGTATAGTTATAAAGAAAATCTCAAAGTCAACTTAAAAATTTTTAATAAAAACCCACATTTTTATTTGATATTTTTCTATACCTTATCTCGAGAGCTTTTCAAAATATTACAAGAAAATTTTTTTTACATTAAATACTTTTTTTAGTTAAAATATTTTAAACAGAAAGTTTCAAAAGTATTTCAGAAAAAAACATTTTCGGGTAGAACACTCTCATATCATTCAAATCATCCTATATGCCACAAAAAAAGTGTAATATATAATTTAGTAGACCGGTCAATATTATTATCACATCCCCGTTTTCATAGTAAAAATTTAACATTAATCATAGAGATTTTATTGAGCAATAGTTATCCTCTTGATCTCATTTTCTCAGAAATCAATAATAGACTGAAGTTCCTTATTGTTAATAGATTAAACAAAGAAATGACTCAAGATATAAATAACGAAATCATAAATAATGACAATAATAAAAAATTCATAGCGATACCTTATATTGAAAGAATCTCGGAACTAGTAGCATCAGAATTAAAGAAATCAAATATAACAGTAGGATACAGATGTCTAAAGAAATTAAATAGAGTCATAAAAACGCAAAAAGACAGAGATAAGCTCCAAAATAATTCGGGGGTCATATATAAGATTTCGTGTAATAATTGTGATGCTACATATGTAGGACAGACGAAAAGACAATTAGGTACAAGAGTAAATGAACATAAAAATAATATTAGATTAGATTCAGCAAGGCACTCGGTGGTTTCTGATCATATTGTAAAATTTACACACAATTTCAATTGGAACGACACAAAAATCCTAAATTATGAAAAGAATTATTATAAAAGGTTGATATCAGAAATGATATATATTAAAGAAGAAAACAACAGTATCAACCTAAAAAAGGACACCGAGCGTCTTGACGGTTCTTATTATGATATTCTAAAAAAATTGTCTACGTCATCTTAAAAATTGGGTATATATACAGCGCACCGACATTGTAAGATACAGATATCGAATTGTTTTTTAAAAAGTACACATTGTGATTATGTTAAGTAAAAAGAAATAATTTTTTAAAAAAGTGTTATGTTCGTTGACAAAAAAGTAAGTTAATACTATTTATTAAAAATCTAAATGTAATATTTGAGCGGATATATTAATTTGTTCACAGTGTCGTTACATAATATAACAGCATCTGACGCTCTAACTCATGCCAACAAACATGAATTTTGTACTGCGTTCGTCATATAATCTTATAATTGTTGTATTTATTTATGATGTCGAAATGACTAAATTAATTTTTTAACATATTATTAGGATATTGAGAAAGACTGTCGTACAGTCGAAACGTTTATCTTAACTTTTGTATAGTATGACGTAAATTAATAAATAAATTTTTCAATTAATAGCATATAAGCTCGTTAAGTTGGCCTTTTATTATATCACATATTTTAAACAGTATTTTGACATCAATCACAAAATATCTCGTAAAATGTTAAATTTTGTGTAATCATAACATTTTATATATACATAATATTATATACATCATATACTTAATATTTTATGTACATAAGACAAATCAATTAATGTAAATAAAATATAGTTTTTTCTTTAAGACAACTATATATATAATTTTACCAATTCTATCCTTTTTATACTATATCTTGTATAAATTTTATACAAACTAATTAATATAAATTTTACATAAATTTTTTAAAAACTACATACAATATTAAATTTATATAAAATTTATATACATTGTTCAATGCTGGTTTTATATATATATAAACTATACACGTACGCACACGCACGCACGCACGCACGATTAGGAATGGAATACCTCATATATTTACATATAATATATATATATATATATATATATATATATATACAGGGTGTCCGGTAACTAACGGACCAACGATTACAAGTGGATTCTTTGGTCAATTTGGGAACGATTTTTCCTCAGCGAAAATGTCGAAAAAGATCATGATTTTTTACAACTTTCCAATATTTGTCATTATGTATCTTTATAACTAAGCCTCAAATTAAAATTTTATTATAGTAAACTTGGAAGAGCAGTCGCTCGGCAAGCGAAAGGTCTCGGGTTCGATTCCCGATTCAGCGACTTTCGGATCTATATTTTTCTCTTGCATTTACTTATTTCCGCAGGGGGGTGAAAGGGTTATTGAAATTAATCTCAAATATGAGATTATTTCATATTTTAAAATCTTGGCCGTGACCAAGTAAAATTTGGTGCCTTGTGCACAGATACTTAATCCTAACGAAAAATTTAGTTTCGTTAGGATAACGCACTGTCATCCGCGAGTTGGCTCTTATTGCCTGTCTTATATCTTTAAATTTATATTTATATTACAGAGCCTTGTTAAACTTTTAATCATATAGGAAAGTTTAAGTTTTATAATAAATAATGTAAAATGACTTTACAAAACACATTTTTTGGTAAAAATTCATTTTCTAATTATAAGTTATAAATATTGTAAAAAAAATTGACTTTTGTTAAATATTTATCTCATTATTTATTTCATTATAAATAATTTTAAAATGTATGTATGTATGTATACATAAAAACATTTTTTATTACAATATTTATAACTTATAATTTTAGAAAATTCTTTTTTAGCAAAAATGTTTCAAAGTCATCTTACAACAATTGTTGCAAAATTTAAACTTTTCTATTGAGGAACATTTTTAATAATAAATTTCATAATTATTAAATATTTTATAAAATTAATAATTATATTTTTTATATGTATATAGGTGATACACGTATCCGGAGCTTTTTCTCAAAAACGTTATTCTAAGAGTTTAGGAAATGTCCCTATGGACTTAACTATCAAAGATTATACAGTTGTGAATGTCATTGGAAAAATTCGAGAATATGAGGAAACTAAAATTTATGAACCAGTTACTATTCAAAATATTTTAAATTATAAATTCAATAAGGTAATTATATACTCTTTATTTGAAATGATATACGTATATATATATACATGAAATCAGACAGAAATGTACGACGGAGAAAACGAGCCTATTTCTCCATATGTAAGTTTCGAGATTAATTTATATATGGAACTAGTGATCTCAAACCAAGAGATACAGTTCCGAATAATTAATTTTTCGTGCTTTGGCTCTGTTGGCCGATTTAAAAAAAAAAAAAAAAAAAAAAAAAAAAAATATTTATATACATACATGAAGTTTGAATTAATATATTCCCACCAAGTTTTTTGTTAATTTCACGATATAAAATCAAGTTTCTTTTATTAATTTACAATATAATAAAAATTTTTCTCATAAAAATAAACTAATAAAAATTTATTTTTGGCAATAAAGTAACTATTTAAATTTCATCTATGCCTGATAGAATCCTTTCAATTTACACGCACGCACGCACACTTATGTGCACACTTATGCGCACACTTATACACACATATACATGCATATATATATATATATATATATATATATATATATATAATACATACACATACCTATTGATTTATTTAGCAATCTGTCTATCTATCGAACTATCTATCATCTATCGATCAATCTATCTATCTATCTATTTATCTATCGATCTATCTGTCTCTTCTCTCTTTTCTACATTGCATTCTTTTATATATGCACACGTATATAATAATTTTTTAAAAATATTGTACATTACAAAAGTAAAAATAATTAAATTTATAATCTAAAAATATATAAAAATTTTTTATGAATATAATGATTACAAAGTTTTAGTAGATAATTTTTTGTAATAAATAAATGATTTATATGATTTATTCTTATCTAACTACTGCTCTGTTTTGATAATAATAGCATTATTATGTATTTAATCTCTAAAATATTTTTATATAAATCATTTATTACAAAGAATTATTTACTTTATAATCAACTATAATTATTATAGATAGGCCTGTTTATACACATACACACACTACACACAATACATATATGTTCAACTTATATGTTTATCAACATTATTATATATAACAGAGAAAAGTATAGAATCGAAAAGATCTAAATAGCTCAGTTGGAAGAGCAGTCGCCCGGCAAGGGAAAGGTCTCGGGTTCGATTCCCGATTCAGCGACTTTCGGATCTATATTTTTCTCTTGCATTTATTTATTTCCGTAGGGGGGTTAAAGGGTTATTGAAATTAAATCTCAAAGATGAGATTATTTCACATTTTAAAATCTTGGCCGTGTCCAAGTAAAATTTGGTGCTTTGTGCACAGATATCTAATTCTAACGAAAAAATTTAGTTTTGTTGGGATAGCGCGCTGTCTTCCGCGATTGGCTCTTGTTGCCGTTCTTACACTTTAAATTTATATTTATATTACAGAGCCGTGTTAAACTCTTAACTTATACACGCTGGCTTATAGGCGTTTGTTTATCAACATTATTATATATAACAGAGAAAAGTATAGAATCAAAAGGATCTGAATAGCTTAGTTGGAAGAGCAGTCGCCCGGCAAGCAAAAGGTCTCGGGTTCGATTCCCGATTCAGCGACTTTCGGATCTATATTTTTCTCTTGCATTTATTTATTTCTGTAGGGAGGTTAAAGGGTTATTGAAATTAAATCTCAAAGATGAGATATTTCATATTTTAAAATCTTGGCTGTGTCCAAGTAAAATTTGGTGCTTTGTGCACAGATATCTAATTCTAACGAAAAAATTTAGTTTCGTTGGGATAGCGCGCTGTCTTCCGCGATTGGCTCTTGTTGCCGTTCTTACACTTTAAATTTATACTTATTAATTAGGCTCCAAAACTTTTATTCGAAATTTACGCTTTGCATAAAAGTCGCAAAACTATATAAAACTGTCTATAATTATAAACCTAGTTTTGTATCCGAAGCACAGAACAATAAGAGGTAGACCTTACTTTGCAAGAAAAGTCGCAAACCCATGTAAAGCAGTGTAATAATAAATTTTGCATCAAACGATGGATGGTAAGCATTGCTTTGCATGAAAAGTCGCAAGATATGTGCGCGCAAAGAGTTTATATTTATTAAATCTTTACCTTACTAAAAATATGATGAGTCAACAATATACTAAAAGTATTAGGTACAGAAAATATTAGCAAGACCCCTACGCAACGAAAAATGTATCATGAATCAAAACTAGATAAATAGGTTTCCGTGGAACTTCGTTTCGCATGGAAAAGTGTTTGCGTGGAACCTTGCTCTGCGTGGACAGTTGCAAACCCACGTAGAACCTCGCTTCGCATGGAAAAGTGTATGCGTGGAAACAGTGGGTTCCGCCCCCCTGCGGGGGGCTCCACTACCATAAAACTAGACAAATAGGTTTGCGTGGAACCTCGCTCTGCGTGGAAAGTTGCAAACCCAAGTGGAATCTCGCTTCGCGTGGAAAAGTGTATGCGTGGAAATAGTGCGTTCCGCCCCCCCCCCTGCGAGGGGCTCCACTATCGAAAAACTAGACAAATAGGTTTGCGTGGAACCTCACTTTACGTGGAAAGTTGTAAACCCATGTGAAATCGTATATGTATTGCAAAGTACATGCTTAGATGGAAGAACAGATATAAGATTTAGATTTCATCGTTTTTGTTGAAAACTATCATTCGTACGGTAAAAATTAATAGGACGTAAAATGTTTTTCTCTGTAAGATCTAAAACTTTTGTCTAAAATATTTATCATGATTTGTCGTATTTACTGAAATAACTGTTAAAAATTATAATTTTTATGGGTTTTTCTTGATTTTCACTATGAAAATGAAAGGTGCGCCAATTTTCACTATAATGTTCGTAATCAGCGCATCAAAATACGTAAGAATACTGAGTTTCAAAAAATCAGAGGAGAGCACTTTTCGGAACTTTACCTGCCGTTTTTAGTCTTTAACATCGATTTTCTTAAAAACTTTCAGTTTTACGCAAAAAATTTATACGGCATAAATGATGTATTTTTACAAGAACTACAACTTTTATTTGAAACATTTTTTTCTTACATTAATATTTATCAAAATAATGTCTAAAAAGTTATATTTTTGTCGGTTTTTTGTTTTGACTTTGAAAATGATCTAGTCGCAAATTTTCATTATCATATTCGTAATCAGCGTTTAAAAATACAAAAAATAGTTTAGTTTCCAAAAAATCGGAGGGTTCATCTATTTAGAACTCCACCCTACTTTTGTAATGTACAATATTTTTAAAAAATTATTATATACGTGTGCATATATAAAAGAATGCAATGTAGAAAAGAGAAAAGAGACAGATAGATCGATAGATAGATAGATAGATAGGTTGATCGATAGATGATAGATAGTTCGATAGATAGACAGATTGCTAAATAAATCAATAGGTAATGTGTATATATTATATATATATATATATATATATATATATATGTATATGTACAACGCATTTTATTATAACATATTATACATTTATTATTTTAGAACAAATGAGAAAAAATTCGAGAAATATGCAATATATATTAACATTAAATATAATTAAATTAAATATAATAAAATGTATAATAAATTGAAAATGTTCTGAATAAAAATATGGTTTAAAAAATGTAAATTATTTATTATTTATATTGTAACTATTACGTACAATAACTTTGCTAGAACCAAGGAAAAGATTATATATTATTTAAAGTCAGTCATTTTAATATCATCAATCAAACATTCAATTTATCTGTATATTTATTGGTGTAAACTTAACATTCTTCTAACGTTATCTAATTACTAATATAATTTGTTTTTTTATTACAGTTTACAGAGGAAGACGCGCCGGGGTTCGCGTCCAGGAGGAGCGCTTTATGCGCTTCCTCTTAAAACTATCCTCGCCTCACTATTATTGGGGCAACAGGCCGAGGAGAGGCGGAAGAGAAGGCGGACGAGGACGGGGACGGCGATAACGTGTATATATAATAAATATACATCTATATATATAATATACACAAATAAATATACATATATATACATTCTTCATTTTATTTAAATAAAAACCCTATAGATATATTAACCCTATAGATATAAACCCTATAGATTTATATATTTATAAAAGATATAAAATATAATATAATAAAAAATATATAGAATAAAATATATAAATAATATAAATATTAATAATATAATAAATAATATAAATATTTGGATTCTAATATTAATAAAATATAATTTTTATTATATTTAATATATAATTATAATATATAAATAATTTTCTATATAATTTTTCTATATAATTTTATATATAATTTTTTATATATTATGTATCCAATATATAATATATAATATCCAATAATATATTAGTATCTAATATATAATACAATATATAATATTTATATCCTTTTAAACATACCTTCTCTATTCTCTAATTTTTCCTTTTGTTCTCTCTTTATTTCTTCTTCTTTCTTACCGCACAATTATCTTTTGTAACATCCTTTCTTCCTTCTTTCACTTTATTTTAAACTCTTCGTCTTCTTTATTTCCTCCTTTCTTTCTTTAAAACATTAACTAAAAATAAAATATAAAAATAAAATATATAACACAAAGTATCAATTTTTTATAATATATAAAGTATTAATTAAATATCAAAAACACAAGTTCTATTAGAAACGTTATCTGAACTTATCTGATGAAGTAATCTTGAACACGTCCAAGGAGAAAAGAGAAACCTTTAACTTGATTTTTAACATAATCTTTCACTTAACCCGGCTGTTACTATTAACCTTCGATTTACATAACTGTCAAAACGCGCGATCTTCGCTGCGACGACAGTTGCTCACGAAGTAAGCCCAACAAAAGAATCAATCAGCATCGCGAAAAAGCGACAACAATACTTTCGAGATATGCGAGAATCGATGTCATGCACTTTTTCAGATAGGATTCAAAAAATTTGATATATTTTCTTTAATTAAAATTAATGTATGAATCTTAAC